TGAGACTACATACATGACATATCTACCAAGTACATGAAGGAGACTGCATACATGACATGCCTACCAAGTACATGAAGGAGACTACATACATGACATGCCTACCAAGTACATGAAGGAGACTACATACATGACATGCCTACCAAGTACATGGAGGAGACTGCATACATGACATGCCTACCAAGTACATGAATGAGACTACATACATCACATGCCTACCAAGTACATAAAGGAGACTACATAAATCACATGCCTACCAAGCACATAGACAATGTACTACTGTATGTGGAATGCCTACCAAGTACATAGAGGAGACTACATACATGACATGCCGACCAAGTACATGGTGGTGACTACATACATGACATGCCTAACAAGTACATGGAGGAGACTACATACTTGGCATGCCTACCAAGTACATGAAGGAGACTACATACATGACATGTCTACCAAGTACATGGACGAGACTACATACTTGGCATGCCTATTGCCTAACAAGTACACGAAGGGGACTACATACTTGACATGCCTACCAAGTACATGGCAGAGACTACATACATGACATGCCTAACAAGTTCATGGAGTGGACTACATACATGATATGCCTAACAAAGTACATGAAGGAGACTACATACATGACATGCCTACCAAGTACATGAATGAGACTACATACATGGCATGACCCCAAGTACATAAAGGAGACTACATACATGACATTCCATCAAGTATATGAAGGAGAATACATACACCGCATGCCTACCAAGTGCATAGACAATGTACAACTGTATGTGATGTAAATTATAATATCCAAAATACTTTTCGGACCATCTATTTCCATGCATTTTAAAATATCTGAGTAGACTTCACATATAGCAGGAACTGCCTCTGATACGACTGCTGCAGATCCATTTCCACGGCACAACACTTCTATTCTATGTGGGGGAAGAAAATACGTCTCTTCGGAAGTATCAAATTCCACTATTCTTCCAGTTACCATGGCACCAAGCCACTCCCTGATATACCTTATGAAAACATAAAATAACCATTTAAACGTGTTTTAACATTTAAACTGTTTGATAAGAGCTGATTGGCAGCAGGATATTGTACTAAACCACGACTGCTCATATCTGCCCATAAACCACATACACGGACCGATGTGTTTAAACTCTAATGAGTGATATGTTCTTACTGGAAGAAGTACGTCCGTGATTAAACAACTATCTAACCTATAAAGTATTCATCACGTACAGATCAGTCGGAATGTCTGACTGCTTATCTGTGAATTTGATAAGAGTATATATATATAAAGATATACTACATAGATCAATTATTCGGTCACAATACTGTCAATTTAGTGTTTTCCGCTTGTTTAAAATATATGTATGCCATCACCCGTTAGTGTACATCTTAGGTATGAAGCAATTTGGTGTTTGTCATTTGCTTTGACCATACCATAATTCCCGGACGTCCCTGTTGATATTGTGACTTGTGTCATCCAATGGAGATAATTGTAGCGCAATAATGATACTCTCTTGTGCACTGTCTGCTGGTAAGTTGCAATGATGTCAAATAATTAACCAGGTAATTACAGGTAATTTTGGAAACGAATACAAATATGAACATAGATTATCGCATATTAAAACAAACAGAAATTATCACCGTTTAAATCACTTGAAAGGTAACTATCAGTCACGGCCATTATTGCACATTAATGTGAATTTTACTGACGTTAGACCGGTTTTGATTTGCTGGTTCTGAATTTAGAAGCTAAAAAGGATTCAATTAAAATATGTTATAAATTGCCAAAGTGTTATTCGGCGATGGTGTAATGAGGATCGCGTTCAAGCAAATATTAAGTAGGGTAAGCATACATCATTTACAAACAATTATGTAACAGTAGTCTGTCTCTGAAGGATTTGGTGGCAATGAGAACGAGTATTGTACTTTCGTATTACTGACAAAATTGATGTCACACATAAAAACCCATGTGTGGAAAAGCGTCAGATACAACGCGCAAGTTTTCCTGAAGAATATTACATGATGAATTTAGCTATTTTCTTGACCACCTATGCAGTGAATTGAATGAACAGTTTACATGTATACTAAGCAATTTGGTCTTAGTCTATAATCAGAATAGAATATGTTCAATCACTGCATCTGTTTTAATGTCATAGTACTTTCCTGGTTTGGTCCATTAGTTTTGCATTATTCAAGTTAATGGTGGCACTATTTGTTTCCATGTTTATCAGCCAAATCTAGTCAACTTATTGGATTTATACCGTCTGTATTATCAGATAATAGCATACAGCCACGATTTGAAACATATGCCGGACATTTGCCATCAGCCGATTTGTTCGATCACAAGTTGTACATGTAGACGAGACACTTGCAGCACAAATCCAGTTTCAACAATTGACCCCCAGATTGTTGATTCAGCACTGAAAGTATGCGATAAGTCATACTTATTTGTTTTACTACAGATAGCTGCTACCCCAGTGACAACCTACGAGTTCTCCGCATTGAGAAGGTTGAATACATATAATCATTCCTGTATGGAACAAGATTGATTGACATCTCTAGCTTCACTCCACATTCATCATGATAAAAAAATCGATATTGATCGTGTTGTCGATACTTTGGCAAAGTTGCATCCAAGGAAGATGAATCTTCAAAATGTGTTGTAATTTATGGCATAACTGTAATGTATTGTGTGATATACCAAAAGCCGCGTTATTAAAATGCTTAGACAATGTTAAGATACGTCCAATCTTCTTGTTGTTTTGCAGTTGTGGGTCTAGGGAGTGTGTGACTGTGGTTGGGGTGGCTCATGCCCTTAACAATGGTAATATAGTTCAGAGATGTTACGTGTAATAAAAGTAAACCAATTGAATTTAAATTTAAATTTAAACCATTACAAGTTGTTAAATTGAGAAAATAAATGCCTCAACAAATATGTGATACTTATTCTGGTGTAAACAACTCTCGTCTAAATGATTTCCACCATTACAATTGTTAAATAAATGTCTCAACTAATATTTGAGACTTATTTAGGTGTAAATAATCCTCGTTTAATCAACCTCAACCATTGTAAGTTGTTGAAATAATGAAATAAATATCATGGTATCATTGGATATTTGATTAATTGTTAAACTTGTTTAAAACACCCCCAATCAACAATTGCACGGACAGTATAACTACCACTACATTTGTTACCTGATTTGGAATCTGAAAAACGCGTTTCACAACTTGTCTCTTATTTAGTTTTATGCCGCATTCAAATGGCGGCCCCCATATAGTAAATATCATATTTACTTTATTGTATGTCAAGGTATCCAGTTATGTAATTTTACCCCCAAACGGATTTGAAGTTTTTAAGCTAATTTATTTTAAACCACTTTTGTCAAAAAGCATATTTTTGACCCAAAATCAAAAACGCATTCTGTATATTTAAAATAAGAACAAGTTTTACAATGTTTGTATAATAAGCTTTCAGAAAATATATAACATGTTGTAGATATAATATCATCTTCATTGTCTAATTACTCAATTAAAAGCAAGCCAAATAAACTGCATCCAGACCTTAATACGTTTCAATTTATTAGATTTAGGTTGTTCATGGTAGCTCTGAGCGCGCCTCGAAGTCAATCACTGCCTTTTCAAGCTAATTTGGGATGGCACGCTTGTGTATCAAGCCACGACGTTGATCGTTGAGTGATGTTAATTTTTCAATGTCCCGATTAATGGAATGGGAAAGCCTAAACGATTGCTTTGGTTCCGGTGTAGTAGCAGCGGCACCGGGGGCAAATCAAGATGAAACCTTTTGTGTCAGCAAAATTTGCCCCTCAAAATTCATGAAATGCGTTTCAGAGGGTCTAGATTTTAGCATTGTTCCGGGGAGCATGCCCCAGTAAGGTCGCGCCGTCGGCGCGTCGGACGGTGAGCAGTTCTAGCAACCCCTTCTGCAAAATTTCGTGCCGTCGTTCTCCGTGGTGAGTGTGTATTTAGTAAGAACCCTTGGCGTTTGTATTAGACGGCTTTTCATTTCCCATGTTTGCCTCGCCATAATATGTGACCACTTTTTATTGTAATTTTGTGAGTATTGAATGATGTCTCCCTCGCACGTCACGCCATGACCTAGTTTCAACCTTACGGCCATGTTGTGTATATAAGTATATATACAAGTTTATTGAAACACTTAAAATTCCTCAGAAGGAATTAAAATGGTTACACGAACTACTAAAACGCATATATAAAACATACCCGACTGACGAAATGATAGTTCAGTTCAACGGTCAAGCCATGATTATTACCGTTATTATATTGTCACGTGATTTGTTCCACAGGTAATATCTTAAGTATCTTTATTGTAATTTATATATACCAATTCGTATATACCGAACAAACGACCCTGATTGAAGGGCACGCATATTGTACGGCTTTTGGAAATGTACATTACCTTTCCTTCATACCCGCAGCCTCAGCAATGTCCTTGACGTGGCATGGTCTACCTAGTTTCGCCATTGTATCAAAGAGCCCAGATGCCGACCCAACCGATATACCAACTGTCAAAAAACCTGAACAAACAGTATCTAACATACGCCGTTTGAACAACTCAGTCGTCTCACTCGCCTGTTCGTTCATTCCACTGGCCATGATTGTTCAGTATGATGGCAGTTACACTCATAAATATTCATAATGAGATTAGCATATTATCATTGAATGTACAAGTTTAACTATTGTAATAGCCATGAACCTGGACGCAATGATACCGGGACCCGCCGTAGGCGGCAGTATTTTCGTGCGAGGTCAATTTTGGATCACCAGGTCATTCCTAAACGCGTAATTAGGACTGAGTCAAGAATCAATTGTGGGTGCCAGAAATCAACCAAAGACGCTTATTTCGGTATAATTTGCGCTGTCAAGACAAAGTTCAGGTTAATAAAATAAGATTGACGACGTTTTCCCCGGAGAAAAAAGCTGTTATTTGTTGAAAAAAGCAGAGAAAAATTGATACACAAAAATCGCGAGGTAGACTCTACGCATGCAATGCAGCGTCATGGAAATTGTCTACAGTACACTAGCACGCATCTATCGATGACGTAGATTATTTTGCCAGCCAGCCAGCCATCCAAGGACGTCGTACAGACATTGTACTAGAGCTCTTGCCATTTTCTGCACACCATGCTAAGATCATTCAGCGTTTTGAACTAAACGACTCATCGCTTAGCAAAGCCGATTTTCAGGATTTATTGGCACATGATGTCATGATTTAGGGAATCTAATGGCCAAAAATAAATCGCCAAATATTGCATCGTACATAAAAGATGACATCGATTTACTCGTATGATTTGTGTGATGTGCACATACACGGTGCGACTGGTAACAATTACCTAACCTACCGGTCCTTCACGGCCACAGTTGTCACGATGCATCTCAATAAAAATACATCTAAAACCAAAATACGGCCGATATGTGTGAATACAGCCAGAATAATGAAATTGCAAAAATGGCATGGATATGATTTATAGTCCTTGCCCATTAATGTAATGTTATAGTGTCTATGAAGTATGCGATCATGATTAATCTTCATGATCATTTGTGACCACACCTATTCCACGATTATTCGGCATAGGCTGCCACACACTATAATATTGAGCAGAATGTCATGCAAGAAATTTCATTTCATTCACCACATTGGCATGGCTGGCTGTATTCATGATTCATACTTTTTCATGACTATTGTTCGGCCCACTACAATTTTCTTGTGATTTAGGCGAATTTGTGTCACACACAATAGACGACAAGAGCTGCAATGTGTACATAAGAGTGCTTTTATCCTGCTTGTGTTCTTGCTATTGTAGGTAAATGGCCACAGCAGGAATGTACATAACAGACATTTATTAGGCAGAAACTGATAGGAGCCAATTTCTTGTGCCGATATCTACATACATCAGTGAACGTTTTGCTGTCGCCAGCTGCCATTCTTGAAATGGTGCCACCGATCAACAGTTCTTGTCACTCGCCTCAACCTGAAACAATGACAAGTGTTGTCATTTGTTATTAAGGCAAAATTTTATTTTTATGGAAATGAGTTGCCTTTTTCTAAACAAAAGTTGATATTAATATCATCATGTAAAAAAACAATTGTTTAAAATGATTGTATTTGATATAGACTGAACATGTTGGGGAAAAAATAAATCTAAAATAATAAAATCCCTGCCTAATTACCCAATATTTTTTACCCTAATACTGGAAACACCAAATTTGTTTTTCATTGGCCTCAAAATGATTTGAGATCTTTTCAACATGGTCCACATAAATAATGAGGGATAAACTGGTATTCTGTACAAACAGGTCTATGCATTTACATTCTATGTTTCTGGTTTGATGTTGACTCATTTACAACCCTGTCATTGGTGATACCAGGATTTTACTTCCTATAGCATATGTGTGGGCTTTCTTATGCAAACCAAGAATGCTGTCTTTGCACATGGTCAATTCACTTGGGTTATATGTCAGATGGCACATTGCCATTGCCATACGATAAATTCATTACTTTCACAGGTTCTATTAGTCTGATGGGATTGATATCATCAATGGTATTCCTATGAAGTACAATTACATTTGATATAGTCTCTTTGCACCTACTTTATTTCCTATTCATTCTGAATGGACAGTTGGATGAACATACAATAGCCTAAAAGTAAGGGGGTATATTTGTATGACACCCTGTAACTTTGCATGATATGGGTCCACAATACTGTCTTGTACAATGTTGTAAACAGTTAACTACTGGTTTTGTACAGTTTATTGTTGCTGTACATATACTTATTGAAATCAACAAGATATAGTATTTTCGGCAATATGATTACTACCAAATTAGTTGTCGGTGGTGATCATTTGGGTCTTCCGTCAACGCGTATGCGCTTTTGCACTATGAGTCGTTTCATGCACATCATACTCTGTTTACAACACTAATTTACCTCATTATAATGTAAATGTGCAAAACCTCTGTTTATTTTCATTGTGAGGATTCTTGAATGCACGGCAGTGCTTTCAGCATCCTCTCGCCAGTTATTTACAATGTGCCTCAAGATTTAATTATGCAAAGTCCAATCATTTTCAAAGCATCATTTATTTCAACAATGTTCTTCCTATTGAATCATTCATTGCAATAATATAATTCTTACCACTTACTTATTTTTTTTATTTTCTTCCAGGCGAAATAATTGAACCATCATCTATATCCTCCTGTTGGTTAAACTTTTTACTTTATTCTTACTCGAATGTTTTTGTAAACTTTTTGGTTGTTTATTGTTGGTTAAGATAAAAAATAAAAACTTTATTATTTCCTTGTTCATTACAGATGATTATTTTATTCACACTATCTCTACTTGGCTGTCTTCCAACTAGTCATGCTAGTGATGTCTAGTAGCAACTGGCTAAATTACAATCGAGTGGTGGATGGGTCACAGTCAAGTACAAATAAATTGCTCAAAACATGTATGAGATATGTGTCAGCCATTCATTTATTGAAGTGATATGCATCAAATACCCATAATAGTTAATTTAAGTTTGATGAAAAAACATGCCCCGTAATCTGGACATATTAAAATATCTCATAATCTGTTGACAAGAGGGTTCGAAGAGAGTCGGTCGAGGTGTGTCTGGATAGTATAAGGCATTTTATATATTAAAAATAGTTCTATTCGGCTATAAGTCGGATCGAGAAATGAATGGATATGCATATATCTTCCAAGATTCATTATTTTTAATGTGATCGACGAACACATGTCAATCCATAAGTACCCGTTTTAGGACTTTGTCTGAACTAACATGAATAACACCGTGATAAAGACATTCCGTTTTTGACATTGTGAAATTCGCTTGTTTTTATGCAGAAAATACAGTATTTTTACAAAGTAAAATCATATTTATTAAAGTTATTGTTCATACATGAGTTGATGAGCTTACTACATAGTTTGTAATTTTATTCAGCTTCTTTCAGTCATAAATCAAGACAAATAAAAGACGAAAATATAGAGAGTATAGCAAATTATCATTTTCCTGTAATATTATCTATGGGTGCATGGGAAATACATTTCGTTATGAATAATTCTTAATATATTTCTGAATTATCTTGTCAGAATAAGTTTTTCAGGGCTTTTCTTCCAAAACACAAAGGGATTTCACAATGTCGAAAAAGGAAATTCTTTATCATAGTGTTGTGTTAAATTTGCTAACAATTACATGTACAATAATTTAGTCTTTTACAGTTACTGACAAAGTTCAGCTGAATCCAGAAAGCAAAGACAAGATATACCAATTCTTGCAAGAACAATAATCAAGTATTGAACATTCCTATTATTAAATATCATTTGTACAACTACACATCGATTTCTCTAACACCTTTTACTGGCTTATCATTTCAGTTTATATTGAATCCCTAAGTAGCCTTCTATATTTGTTTTTGTAATTTGTGATCCGAATGTCAAATTTACCGTACAACATTAATAAAAATAGTTTATGGAGATGATTAAAATGGTGCCAATCTTTGTAGTGGGGATTGCCAACATAAGCAATCACCCTTTCACTTAATGTGCATATACTTTATCTATCCCATCCATCTATTTGATTGGTTATCTAAAAGTTATTTAGTATGATTATAAACTATGTTTATTTTACTATGACAAAAAACACCACTACTTTACCAATTTTTGAAAAAATTATCTTTGTGTACTAGTGATATTTACATAATTCCTACTAACCAATATGTTATACAAACTACATATGGTTGTGGGGAATCACAGGCACTGTGACATACTAGTTAAACTCATACTAGGTAAACTCATTCAAACGAATTCTAATGTGTGCTTCATTCAAGTCAGTAAACATTGTCACAATTGCCATATTTCTGTGTCAAAAATAATATCCAAAAACTGTGAGCTCTGTGACTGTGTTTTAAAATAATAAATGCTCTGTTTATTTGATAACTGGGTCTGTATTCTTAGCGTATCCATATCTCTCCCATCCGTGCCTGATCTGGTTTTCAACTTTGATTTACGTCAACTGATTCACGTGATCACCCCCCAGCTGCCGTGGATCACGCGAAATGCAGATGTTTGTATGAATTATATTTTCATTCAAGAAAGTACACCGCGCGTATATTTCTAGACTGGAAGCAACATTTGAAAATGACCCTAAAATTCACTTTAGGGGGACGGAAGTTAAGCAGGGGGCATCCACGATAGTGAGCCATACTGAAATTGTAACCCCATTACGTAAATTATTTAAACTTGGCGAACGAAGTTATAGAATGTCACTCTAGTTGACAATCATGTATATCAGCTAGAAATCTAAAAATTTCCCACAAATTATAGGCTATATTTATTATTAACATACATTTATAGTTATTACTTAAACGTGTTTACGTATATTTTCCTCAAAGAAACAACAGGCAAAATAAGATAGTATACACATATATATTCATGTGCAGATTAGGCATTTGTGGTGGTATGTTACTAATTCTCTTCCACAGGCACAAGTATATTGCAGTTTCGTAATACAACAGCTACACCTAAATGTACGTGTTACAGCTTCTACATTTGCAATGTATTACTGCAGAAAAATCAGCCATCAGCTTTGGCTTCAACTCTTTTCAGCTAGTTTCAGCGGACAACCTTTCTTCTTTATTTAGTGTCTACAGTCTAGAGACGTCCATTTCAAACATTGTTTGTATCAGTTAGGGCTCCAACACCAAGAAAATCTAAGACATTATCTAACACATTCTTGGAATACTTTCCAAGTGCACGTTTCACCAAGACACAGAATTACGGACAGTGTCACATACTATTACTACTATCATTGAGCTTCATTTCAATGTACCGGAATCTATCATGGATTATCTGCTGTTCCTGAATGAACAAAATACGCTAGCAACACCACTGCATTAGTATATATGCATGTGATTATGGTCTATGCATAACCTGCTCATGCTACTGCCATAACATGTACAATAATTTGTGTATCTGCTTCATTGTGATTTGTCATCAAGAGACTGACATCAGTACTGTGGGATGATTCAGAAGCTGTCTTCTTCAAAAGCCACCTGAAATAATCTTCTAGATTTGTTCTTGCACTAGTAATCAGTTGCTGACCCAAGTTTTATGGATCAGTATTATTTTCAGACAGATCAATCAACTTCTTCCAATTTATTGGTATGGGAACTAATTGTGTATCAAATTGGTCTATTACCACTAGCTCTTCAAATTCATCTGGTATATTTTATCATATGTAGATCATTTTGATCAAATGCAACATCTGCATTTGTATCAGAACAAGTACCAGCGAAGTGATTGAACAAGTGATTGTCTGCAAGACTCCAATTGATCTTACTACCAATTGTTCCAATTGCTTGACCATATATCGTGGTACATGTATC